TCACCCCATTCTCATTAGGAAGCTGGGGGACTGTGGCGTAGACACCCATACAGTCCAATGGGTCGCCAACTGGTTAGAGAGTCGCACCCAGAGGGTGGTAGTGGATGGGTCCTTCTCGACCTGGAAGGACGTGGGAAGTGGGGTCCCACAGGGCTCGGTCCTTGGGCCCGCCCTGTTCAACATCTTCATCAGTGATTTGGATGAGGGGGTGCAAAGCACCCTGTTCAAGTTTGCTGATGACACTAAGATGTGGGGGGATGTGGGCACAATAGAGGGGAGCAACAGGCTACAGTTGGACCTAGATAGGTTACAAGGATGGGCGGAGGAGAACAGGATGGGGTTTAACACAGACAAGTGTAAGGTGATGCACCTGGGGAGGAACAATCGGCACCATACATACAGGCTGGGGAACTCCCCTCTTGTCAGCACGGAGGTGGAAAAGGATCTGGGAGTCATTATTGACTCCAAGATGAACATGAGTCGGCAATGTGGGGAGGCGGCTAGGAAGGCCAACTGCACCTTGTCATGCATCCACAGATGCATCTCGAGCAGGTCCAAGGAGGTGATCCTCCCCCTCTATGTGGCACTGGTCAGGCCGCAGCTGGAGTACTGCGTCCAGTTCTGGGCGCCGCACTTTAAGAGGGATGTGGACAGCATGGAGAGGGTCCAGAGGAGGGCCACTCGTATGATCAAGGGACAGCAGGGTAGGTCCTATGAGGAAAGGTTGTGGGACCTGAACCTGTTCAGCCTTCAAAAGAGAAGGCTGAGGGGGGATCTTGTGGCCTGTTATAAACTGGTTAGGGGGGATCAGCAGGCGCTGGGGGAGTCCCTGTTCCCCCGAGCGCCGCAAGGAGTGACCAGGAACAATGGTCACAAGCTGGCGGAGGGAAGGTTTAAGTTGGACATCAGGAGGCGCTACTTCACGGTCAGGGCGGCTAGAGTCTGGAACCAGCTTCCAAGTGAGGTGGTGCAGGCTCCCACCCTGGGGGTTTTTAAGAGGAGGTTGGATGACCACCTTACTGGGGTCATTTGACCCCAGTGCTCTTCCTGCCATGGCAGGGGGTCGGACTAGATGATCTGCTCAGGTCCCTTCCGACCCTAGAAACTATGAAACTATGAACTACAGAAGGGTCTGGCATGAATGGGCAACTAAATGGCAGAAGAAATTCAATATAGATAAGTATAACATGATGCACATGGGCAAAAATAACCCAAACTATACCTAAACTATGATGGGCTCTGGACTAGCTGTTATAACACAACAGAGAGATCTGAGAGTAATAATTGTGGACAGTTTGATTAAAGCATCTGTAGCCATCAAAAAGACAAACACAATGTTAACGATTATTAAGAATGGAATGGTAAACAAAATGGAAAGCATCATTATTCCCTCTCATAAATCAGTGGTGTGTCTACCACTTGAATACTGTTCCCAGTTTTGGTCTCCATGCCTCAAAAATGATGTGGAAGAACTAGAGAAGGTATTAGGTTGAAAACTAACAAAAGGAAGTTCTTTTTCACACACCATTTAATTAAAGCATGGAACTCATTTCCACAAGATGTTGTGGAAGCTGACAGTGTAATCAGATTCAAAAAGGGATTGGACACATTCTTGAAAGAAAAGTGCATTAGTAGGTATTGAACATGGGAAGTAGGTAATCAGTAGGTATTGAACTTGGAAGAGCCTCTGAATCAGAACTTCCTAGACCTTAACTACTGGAGGCTGCAACTGGGAGAAGAACAGTGGAAAAACTCTGGTCATACCATTCTATCTCCCTTTCAGCACATCCACTCCATACTACTGTGTGATACAGAATCATGAATACAATGGACCTATGGTCTGACTCAGTAAATGGCAGTCCTTATGTTTTTATCTTCTTCTGTTCTAGAACAGAGAAGATATGAATGGGGGGGAGGAGGGAACCTTGAAAATAGCTCAGTAATTTAAAATATTTACAGAGAAGCAAGTATGGAATCTGAATACCTTTCTCTTTGTAATACAAACCCTTTTATTGAAAAGTTGAAATGCTGCAACAATGATTCTATTTCATCTCACAATGGTGTTTAATTTTTTTTGGCAAAGAACATGCATTTGTGTTGCTTCTTTTCAATATTTCCTATTTAAATATTGCCCTCATTATATGGAGTAAGTGTAGTAAAATTAGGCATCATGTAGGAAAGAATTATTTTTCACATTGCTGCTGCTCATGCAAAAAAGAGACATCAGCTGACAATACACATTTCCTAATTAAATAGATTTATGCTGTGGTTCGTATGAACTTGGCAAATATTTTGCTCCAGACCAGTTTACACTACCAAAATTATGCACTGGTAATTATCAGATTATGCAAAATTTTGTGTACAGCATATAGCATTATTTTGTGCTTTTATTTAAGCAGCTCATCAAAAGGAAAGCTGCAAATCTGGCAAGATGGATAATAAAATGAAACTGTTTATATTTATTGCCATTTTGACAATTCATGAAAGGATATAAAAGTAACTGAAGGGAAAATATGATATCTTGAAGGCTTAAGATTTAATCACCGATATATCTAGTTGTTGTTTTTTTTCCATAATGTTTGTTGGATCATTTACAGAGAGGCTCACTATTTCTTATTTAGATCCCAGCCCTTTAAGGGCATATGTAGGGGCTTAACTTTAAGAACATTGGCAGTCTAAGTATCTTCAAAGTATTTCTAACTCTGCCACTTACCTGTTGTGTGACTTTAGACAAGTCACATCAGCTCTCTGGGGAATCTTTTTTTTCTACTTGCTGTCCTTTTTATGTCCTGCATTTTTAGACTAAAAGCCCTTTGGGGTAGGGACTGTCTCAGTTACAGTACCTAAAACAATATTTGTTGTCTGTTACTGTTGGGGTTTTTTTCGAGCAGAGACATGGTAGGGCACCTCCATGCCCTGAGGCCCAGCCACTGCATGAGGCAGAGCCAGATGCGGTGTTACTAGTGCTGGCAGTGTGACCAGCTGCCAAATGCAGCACCAGCTAGTTTTTCACTTTCCAAAGAACCCCCTGCCCCCTCCCACCCAGTTATGCTACTATGGTCCAGCCTTGGTTGCAACTCTAGACCCTACTATATTGTAAAGTATAATAACCATTAAAAAAAGAATATTTATATATGTTTAAAAATAATAAAGCATGTAATTGTTACCAGAATCAGAACATTAGATCATTTAATTCAAGTGAAATTGAATAGAAACTTGTGTCACAAAGTCAGGAAGAACCATTGTAAAAAGATAGTAGAATTCCCATCACTGAAAGCAGGATTGAAGACAAAATCCATCATTCTTAAGAGCAGTGTTCCTTTGGATCATTTGTAAATGAACCAAAGAAATGTGGCAGTTTCTATATAAAAGTTACTGTCTATTTTTCTACTATTTGTTCAGCTTTTAATGCATGTGTCATAAAAGCTTATAGGGACAAATTCTGTCCGACAGCTTCTAACGTTTTTGTTCTCAGTTTTTTATATGAGGTGTCCACCTCTTCCCCACTCCATCCCAATGAGACGGACTGGAAATAGAAAGGAAAATTGGTCATACAAAATCATGGAAATGAATTAAAGTTGGTCTAGTTTCAGGGTCCAACCGAGGAGGGCACTGAATCTCTCTGGGAGGGAGTATTCTGCCCCTCAGAGGTGTTCAGTTCAACAAAAATAATGAGTTAAAAACTCTTTAAGAGTGTTGTTTAAAATTAATTTCCAATTTCTGAATCTGTAGTAGTCACACCCACTTCTCGAGATTTAGAATAGCTATGAATAAAGTCATCTTTGAAATTCTTGGCAGAGTGTCCATTACATCAGAGAGTAATGCAAGTTGGTGGCAATACCTGTGCTAATGACAAATCATCCTCTGAGGGTGTTTTGGAAGGGGCAGTTTGTATTAAAAGCCTGCAGTTGTTTCAGGTCATTTGTATTGCATTATGTGAGAAAAAATGTGGACAGCTAAGCAAGATATAAACAGACTTAGTGAGTTATTTATAAAAATAAAAGCTGGAGTACTACTTTCCCACTCTAGCTATGTTGTTCTGTACTGGATTGAAATGTTCAATGATTTCAGAGAATATACTTCTTACCTTTTTCACCAGTCTATTGTGTATTTCTTGGTTTTGCATCACAGTGCTATTTACTAACCTGATAATACGCTATCTTCAAATATGGGGTGTTTGGAAATTTGAAACTAGTTTGAAGAGTAGGAAAAGTTAACCAAGATAGTAATATGACAAAGTGATACAGTTGATGGGGCTTATAGCCAAAGCTGGAAATGTATACAAGTTTGTCTGTTCTGCATCTGGGATTAAGGTGAACTAGGGATAAAATCTTCATTATACAAAATAAGATTCCTTTCATATCTAAAAAAAAATCCTCACTATATCTTTAAATTATTTTTCCTGAAGGTAAGTTTAATTTATTTATCCCCAGAGATTTTTGGTTGTAGAAAGCCCTAGCAGCCTGGTTTCTACACTGTCAAGGAAGGAGATACTGGTGAGGGATAACTGCACTGTCATACTTCAAGGGAAGCAGCAAGAAGGTTTATGTTGATGATGAAAATACATTTGTTCAGTTGTATATGTAAGATGGGGGCACAATACATGAGGTTAGGCCTTACTTCCCTCCCTCTGTTCTGATTGTGCCATTAAGCCTTTTCATAGGATTCCACAGGATAAAGCAGCAACATTTGTTAGTCTCGGTGTGAGAAAAATGAAGTTTATATTGGCCTTGCACAATATTTATTTATCTCTGAAATATCTTCCTCCTTGAGAAGAAATCAGGTTTTGGAGCAAATGCAGACAGCTGGGTGATGCTGATAAGATGATTAACTCCTCTTTCTGCTGCCACTGCATGCTGCTTTTCTTTACATTTTAAAAAAATTCTGTTTTATTTCTGTTTTAAAAACTGTGTTTTAAATAAGCTTTTTATGAAATCATTTCCTGTTTTCTGTGGGGTGTTTGCCTTTTCTTAAATTTCCCATATAAATCTTATTTGCAGCTGGGTCTCGGGCATCTTACAGCAGCCAGCACAGCCACCTTGGCTCCGAGTTAAGGGCCCTGCAGTCTCCAGAGCACCATATAGATCCTATTTACGAAGACAGAGTGTATCAGAAGCCCCCTATGAGGAGTCTCAGCCAGAGTCAGGGGGACCCTCTGCAACCAGCACATACAGGCACATATCGCACTAGCACAGGTAGGTGGAAATGATATGCAGAATTGTCTTTTAGAAAGTCTGTTTTGTTTTGTTTTTCTATCAGTGTTAATTCTCCAAATAGTGTCATTATCTTAGAAAAGTTATATAATGTTTCTAAGTTTAAAAAAAAGCTCAATTCAAATTTTAGCATGTATCAGTGTAACTTAAAAGGCACCAAAAATGTGCTGCCTTGGGTAGGAAAATCCTAGCAATGGGTCAATACATACAAAAGTTTTAATTTTTTCCCCCTGTTGGGGAGGGAAGGAGATAATGTCTTCCTTAATCTTTTAAAGATCTGATTGTTCTCTGAAAACTTAACTATGTTTCAACTGTTCAGCCTTTGTCTGTGTGTCATAGAAGGGACTGCAATGCATCTTCTTCATGAAACTAATGGGACAGTTATATTTTTGGAAGTGAAGCAAACCAAGAGAAAATATGTTCTCTGTCTTTCTAGCACATATATAGATACACATGACATGCATATATATCACTCTCTAGATGTACAGATACAAAATTAAGCTTCAGTATAACAGACAGAGCTGTCAGGATCAGTGATTTATCTGGAATATAATAATGAATGATCATCCATGAAATCCATTAGTATACAAGCTCTATTTTCAGTGTATCCTCTCAAGTATATAAAATTGAGCTATATTTGGGAACCTAGAAGTACATAAGAAATCAGCAGTGGTATTTAGTGCACTAAGAAACCAGAATATGCTATAGCCAAAATACCTTAAAACATATGTAGAGGATGCTTGCATAACAAATTGTAATACTGACCACATTTCTGTGGCTTTTTTTTCTGCATTGATCAGACAGAAAAGATTTTGTCTCTTCCCAAATCAGACAGAAATATTGAAGCAGAATTAAAAATATCTGTAAATAATGACTTTTTAGAATAAGGCAGCATGACTTCTTTAGGATTTTTTTTTAAGGATCACTGTCATGTTTCTTGCACAGCCCAAGTTTCTGTTGCAGCTGTGGGTGTCTGGACTATGCTAAGAGGGTAAGATAAAGTCCATGGAAGTGATTCAAAGAAATGCAACAACCTTTTTTGCCTAATTTTAATTTTTTGTAATAGTCACATAGGCCTGAAGAGTAGTAGTTAGTTGATAGAGTTACTCTTTAACAAAAGCAGCCAGCATTAGGGTTCAGTGGGGGCATCTACACATGCACTTTACTGCATAGTTGCCTAATTAGCTCTACAGTAAGTGTCACTGTCTACAAGTGTGACACTTCTAGGCCCGAGTAAACTACTTAACTACGCCACAGGATAGTACTACCTAATACAAGAACTTTCCTGTGGCAGAGTTATTTACTCTACTGCAATGCACGTGTAGACGGGATGACGGTGACCAAGCCTGGTTGGTGCACAAGTGCTTCAATGCAGGGGCTGCCTGCCAACTAGCCCTACACTGTAGCATCTTTGCACCCCAGCCAGCCCCTCTGTGGCATGTTGAGCGGGGGTGGAGCAGCTCTGACCTAGCAAGCTGACCCCTCAGACTCACTGCCGGCTGGGGCTGTGCCACCACAGCTCACCAAGCTGAAGTCCTGGTCTCACCTGTCAATACTGTGCCTGGGAGCAATTAACTCTGGCATGGACTGTGCTACAGTTTATTCAGGCACACTAATTTCATGTATGGATGCACCCATCATGTTTTGTGGGGTCATGTTTATATTCAGACATAATACCTATGGTAAAAGAATCCTTAGGTTCCAGTGTATAGCGCAGGGTCTCTGCACCAACTGCTGAGCAGCTGGGCAGCAATCAGTGAATGAGACAGCTGTGTAATACTGTTGTTTATGCTCTTCAGGGCACATAGCCTTGTGTTTCAGACACCACATTCTTTTCAAACCTTGCCCTGAGGAGGAATTTCTTTTTTAATGTACATACTTTTTCTCTGACACTTATCACTGTAGTATTTGAAAGCTTTGCAACTGTTAATGGATTTATCTTCACAATTACCTCTGTGGGCAGGGTCTTCTGACTCTTGCATTTGTAAACTGTGATAATGTGGTACAGAACTCGATTGCTTGATCTTTTTTCCGAAGTGTTGACCCACTGCAGTCCATGAGACTGGTGGATGCTCAGTCCCTCTAATATCTTACCCAGGTTCCCACCTGTCCGACATGGAGACGAGATGACTAGAACTGAGACTTAAAACTTAGCATGGCTTCAGGCCTACCTGAAAATCTCACCCACTATGAACGAGCTGGGGAAGTGGTTGTGTAACAAATGTGGTAGGGGCTACAAGGAGAGGAGGGAGGGGTTTGTACTCATGGCACTGTATTGGATCTTATGAAGTCTGGTTACTCTTCCTACATTTTCCCCATGGACTTATATCCCCCATTCAACAGAAGTATGTAATGTTATATAATTAAAATATTTGTTCCCAAATGGGCTGAATAAGGGAGAAGCTGGCAGGCTTAAATTGATCAATCAGGTTGGTTCCTAACTTCTGATGGCTTAACTTGGGGTGTAGCCAGACATAACATTTATCATATGTTAAAGAGCTTAAAAGCAGAATAAAAAGTGGGTAGACAGGTGATGCACAGTGCTATACACTTGAGGTAGGTCTGTACTGCATCTTCACTGCTGCTGGGGGTATGTGCTCCAAAGCATACCCTTCCTACTTATCCCCACTCACACAGTCCAAACCTGGAAATTCAGCGGTGGAGCTACACATAGGGAGTATCTCCATGATTGTTCTCAAGCCCCTTGTTTCTGGTATGCTTGTGAGTAGCTGGAGGGGGATCCACCCCTGCAGCAACTTCACCACATTTCCAGGTTTGGTGTGCACAAGAGGCATACTCTGAGGATATGCAGTGGCTTGGACCAGACCCTTCACATTCTCTTAGAATAGGGTTGAGTGTGAGATTCTTTTAGGGAGGAAGGGAGCAAGGGTTACTTGGCTTTTTTTAATGGAATTTTAGAAATGTTTAGAAAAGAAATACCAGCTTGTGTAACTACATGCTAGACCAGGGGTTTGCAAGCTTTTAACAATGTCTGGCTGTCAATTCTTCCCTCTCACCAGGTGATTTTCCCTTCAGATCGCCTTGTCAACTTTACACCTCTACCTACTCTTCATAGACAACTATTTATTCATTTTTTAGAACTAAATACATAACCAAATTAAAGCAGTCACAGGACTGTTGAGATAATAGTCTGCTTTTTCACTATATTAATGCATCAAAACTATTTTTCTTTTTAATAGAACTTTAAAATAAGTACGCCACCTCTGAAATTTTTTTTAAAAACAAAAACTTTTGTAAATGACCCCTCAGAATGGAAATGTTTCACCAGCTTTAAAATAGCTATTCTACATGCTGGAACTTTTAGGAAGATTATTACATTTGGGATCATGATTACAGATCCATACTTGCGTTGATTTTTTGCGGTGGTGGGCTGAAATTCATGATACTGTATTGATGTCACCTGGGGTTACAACTAACTTGCTTATACAAACAGGTGTAGCATGTGGCCAGAATGTTCATTATGTTACCAGTGGATGAAATTATTACAGAATGAAATGTATGACACTTATATTCTGCACTCAGGGTCATATGTTCAATGGGGTCGGAAAGTGTGCAGAGAACAGTCAGAGTTCACTGCAAAATCTTCCCCTTTAGCACATTTTTCTTAGGGGCTGATAGATTCTTCATTGTGCATGATCTTCAAGTCAGGACTGGATATGTATCTGCATAATGTGCTGCAGTTCAAACAGATGTTACTAGTTTATCACAGAGATTTTAGTACAAGGCATTTTCTGTCTTGTTTTGCAGATCAGCTCAGATGATCATAATGGTTCCTTCTACCTTAACATCTAAGGCCGTGTGTAGATTAAACAAGCAGCATGTGTGCATGACACTTTAAAGCAAGTTAAATGCTTTTGCATCACTTTAATGGTGTTGGTGTTTGCACACATCGGTGGTGTATTACACAGTAATTCCAGCCACTGTAGCAAAATTGGCAGTGTAATGCGCCTTAAATGACTCAGGGCACAGCAAACTAAAACTTTGGAGGAGTTTTAGTTTGCTGCCCTACAGCCACGGAGCAAAGCACTGGGCTCCGTGTAGCTCAGGGGCTCTGCAGGAAGCCCGTGCAGGCAGCCAGGCAGCAGCCTGGGAAGTCAGGCTCCACCCAAGAAAAGTGGCAAGCCTAATTTTTTTTTTTCCCCCTTGGAGCCTGCCTGCCTGAGTTGTGCTTACCTCCACGGCTGCGGTGCCCCCTGGTACCACCTGAACTGGGTGTCTGCAGGCGGGTGCCACCTGGAGTGGGGGGCCACCGCTGCTGCAGAGGGAAGCACCAGCCCCCCTGCAGTCCACGGACCGCTTTGCCCACCAGAAGCTCGCCTTCCCCTCCCTGCTACCGTCTGTGTGCATGACACAGGAGTTTAAAGAGCCCTAAATTGAAGTGGTGTTTTTGTAAACACCCAACGCTTCAATTTAGGGCCCTTGTTTTGTCTACACACGCCCTAATATTCTATAAGCATCCTTGTTAGCATGACAGCAGGATAATAAATATGCCATTTTACTACTGAAAAATAAATAATGAAAATAACCACACTAAGTTAACCAAGTAAAGTTGTTCCCCAAATACTATAATTTGCTAGCATAAAGTGTCTATTGTTCTGTCTATACCTGTTTTCCTTGTGCTCGTCACCCGTTGGCCATACAAGATGCTGTTGGCAGTTACAAGCACATCTCAAGGTAGTATCTCTTCATATGACAATGGAATTTCCAAACATATAGCCAATGTCTTCTTCTGGCAGGGTGAATATGGTTTTATCCCAAATAGGAAAAGGCCCAAAAAGAAAATGTGTATGTTCTGTTCTGGGTGTCTTGATTAATCTGAAGATAGAATCACAGGTTGGTAACCCATTGGTGGCTACCTCATCTAGCCCTGTGGGACAAGTGTCAGCAGTGTTACTTGCCATGATTCTGGGAGGTGTGGCAATTAAAACTGGCATGGCTCTTAGGGCTGTAGCCACAAATAC